TTAGTAAATACGGTTGAATCATAATAATGCAACCTAAAAATGTGGGAGGAAGTCAAGATCAGAGTATATTTGGAGAATTTCTCACCAACTTCACTTTTCTTGAAAGCGCCGATGGAACACAGTGTCCAGACAATTTCAAGATACAAAGCAGTGAACAGGGCTCCTATTTAGGGCATCAACAATCAAGATGGAACAAACCTACACACCTTCAACAAGTTTTTGTTGTGAGGTCCTATCCTTCTCATAGTTTAAATTCAAGAAGCAAGATAATCTCATCAACCTATCATAGCCTGTCCTGGACATGTTCAAAAATGTACCTGAGAAGGGGCCAATAGATGGACCATTACTTAGGAGACAGTGACATCTTCTGGTAGTTCGTAGACTAAACACATTTATGCCAGGCAGTCCTCTAGAGACGGGTCTATTCAGCATATGTTCACTGAGCTCATATGTGTGGATTCTTAAATATCTGAAAAGTTCAACAAAGCATTAATTATTAGCTACAAAATAATACTATACGCACTTATTTTGTTTCTTGCCTTGCTGGCATCCCTGCCTTAATCTAATAGGAAATGTTTTAAGCAGCCAACATGAATTCCACTTTTCCTGGTAATCAAGACATTTGACCAGACTTGCTGCCTTAATTCAAGCCCTTTTCCTATAATCTTAGAATTCAAAAGGACCTTGGGAGTTACCTGCTCTAACAGGGGTCCCCAGTGTGTCCAATTTAATTTGGGAAAATGTGATTCCTAAGCAAACATTCGATAGCATCAAAACAAGTTTAAAAAGGCTCCACGCAAGGCCGCGCTCAGGCCCATCTCCTCTGAGAGGCCTTCCCAGCACCACTCGTTCAGGGGGGCATCTCTCTGTAGGATCTGTCACAGCATGTACCACTCTGCCCGTAACTGGCTGCCTTCTCAGCTTCCTTTATAACCACGTGCGAATTCCTCGAGGGTAAGGCCTGTATCTCATCACTACTTATGTCTCAAAAATCTTACAGTGCCAAGCCTAAAACCTATTTTTTTTTTGAAAAATAAATGTATTCAAATAATGCTGGGTGAGATATCCATTCTTCATTCAAGCAGATACTGTGTTAGGGGCCTCTGTCCCTCATAAGGAAGGTGGGATATCTACTGAGCACCCCTCATGTGCCAGGAGCCTTTCCAAGTGCTCCACGATTTTTACTTCATTTACTTCTAATAAGCCTATAAGGAGTGAGCTTCATTTTATAGCTGGAAAAACTTTGTTTGGTCAGTTAATAANTAAGGAAGGTGGGATATCTACTGAGCACCCCTCATGTGCCAGGAGCCTTTCCAAGTGCTCCACAATTTTTACTTCATTTACTTCTAATAAGCCTATAAGGAGTGAGCTTCATTTTATAGCTGGAAAAACTTTGGTCAGTTAATAAGAGACAAGATTTAAACTCCATATATTTATTTCTACTTTACCTTACTCCAAATTGAGAATTTTCTAAGAACATGATACAAAACTTGGAGAGAGAAGAAAAAAAAGGAAATCAGAGTAAGGGAGACTTAAGAATTTTAAAAATCATGTAAAGCCAGAGGGTAAGTACCGAATCATGCATACTTTTAACTTCCTATACATTTGCTACGGGTAGCCTGCAAATTTGGCTGAACCTCCCAACTGCCAATGTGCGACTTGTTACATTATTAGGGACTTCAGCGGGGCAGACCAGTTGCTCAGCAGCACATGCACTCCTGAACTGAAACCTGACATTCCTCCTGTGGGCCCTCAGAGAAGCTACTGTATGTCAGAACCAGCATCATTCCTGCCATGAAGGTCAATTTTGCAACGCAGCCCAAAGCTAAGTGTGGGAAAGGAGCTTGCTGCTTGGCCCAAACAAGGCCACCAGGCCCAAAGGTCTCCATAGGGGGCTTCATTCCATTCTGAATTCCGAGAGAAACGGATGCACTATTCAATTTTTGGTTTCCTCCATAAACATTTCTTGTGAGATTTGAACATTGGGCAATAGAGTGTGAAAGGCTGTTTTCTGACAAGTACGTAAGGTACAGACATTATTGCTGATTAAGGGCAGGTCCATATAATCTTTGGAGCTGAGGATAGAGGTGGTCTCCCCCCTGAACCTGGAGCAGTCCCATGAGGACGCCGCCTCCGTGGAGGCCTTCCCATCTCTTCACAAAGGTGATCTTAAGAGTCTCTAACCCACTGCTAGAGACAAGGTTTTCTTAAAAACAGCTCTGGAACTGTTCCAACACATGAACAACTGCTTAAAGCATCCCACCCACCTCCATATAGTATAAATGCTTTAATTTTCGCCTGAATTTAAGAAATACAAACAAACGAAAACTTCATCTGGCTCCAAAGTCTATGTGCTTTGCATGCTTCGTGTGCCCGTGGACTGCCCTGTATCTTTGACCACTGCATTTACAAAGACTGGCAGCTTTAAGGACACAGACTTGGGAGAGACCTGCATGAATGTTGATTCCTACTTTCAAATTCTGAACATTAAAGTCTCAATCGCATGTACTTTTATATGAAAGTCAAGCACTGGCTTTCCTAATAATCTAGGCCACCACATAAAGGAACATATAGAGAAGAAAAAAACAAAGATAAAAATTGGAACTGCGTTAACTAGGTATAATTAGTCAAACCGTATTTCCACTACAGGCACATTTCAAACAAACTCTTAAGGCAGGGAAGTTTTAAAATAGGCTAGGTATATATAATCCCCCATGGCTTTTGCTAGCAGCATGAATACATACCACTCAGCCCTAGTTTAAAAGGGCTTAGTAGATTCAGGAGTCAATCAGGGGGTAAAGTCAGGAGACAGAAACCACACCGGGTACTTGAACAGGGAAATTTTAACGATATAATTGTTAATTGGCAGAAGGTGATTATTTAAAAAGACAAAAGAGGACCTAAAGGAATCCAGAAGTAACAGTTGCAAGAAAAGCAGCTACTACCTCTAAGCCGAGAGCAAGTAAAAGAAATGAAGGAGCTGAAGATTAGGGGAGGCTCCTCATGCCCCCCAGGTGAGCCCGAGGATGCGGCGCCCCAGGAACCCGCAGCCTGCCGGCTGGAGGAACTGGCAGAAAGAATGGGCCACAGAGGGGAAGCAGCTGCCTGAGGAAATGGCCACGGCGCCACGGCAGCAGCCCACGGAGCTGGCAGCGTGGCCTGCGGCGCAGTCTGGAGCTCCTCTGCCGGGCACTGGGCTCCTAGGGATGGAGGTGGAGAGGAACCCAGGGTGAAGGGTCTTCTCCTTCTCGCTGCCACTGCTCCGAGGCGCCCCCTCAGGGCCTCTATCTGCGAAGCCGACCACCCTGCCAGGCGGGGAAGCAGTTTCTAGGGTCCTGCTGCAGTATCACAAAGCAGGGCCAAGGGAGGGGTCCGGGGCTGGGAGACAGTAAGCTGGTAACTGTCGGTTTGCTCTTTGGGCTCCTTCGCTTCCAGGTACACCTGCTCTACCGAATACAGCAGCTGCCAGTCCTGCTGTCTACTGGGTACCGAAAACATGCCCAGCCTGAAACAAGAGGTGCCAAGTGCAAAAGATATGCCAGATCTCAAAGACCAGGTACACAAGAAACAATGTAAAATATCTTGTTCAACTTCATATCGATCCCATGTTTAAATGATATTTTGGCTCTATTCAGTTAAATAAAATCGATTAAAATTAATTTTGCCTTTTTTCAATGTGGCTATTAGGAAATTTAAAATTACATATACGGCTTGCACCCCAGGTAGTTAAATCCTCTGAGCAGCTGGAGCAACTTGGCTGCTTCGGACACAGTCTGTGGTATCCAACAAGCTCCATCTGGGTGAAACGGCTTTTTGCACTGCACCTCCTTTAATTCTTCACGTGCTTTAATTCTGTCCCGTGCTGCAAGCCCTGCTGCCCTGGCTCCCGGGCCTCGCCCACAATTCAGAGCAGCAGCCTACTGCTGGTTCTGACTGAACATTGGTTCTGCCACCTCCCTCTCCCTCTCCAGTGTCCGTTTCTCCGATATGGACATTTATGGTGCCCGATAAGCACTGAACACACAACGTGCCACAGGGAACAGTTTCAACAAGAGCAACTCCAGAAGGGTTCTTAGGAAAGGCCACAGAGCTGCAACGTGGTAGAGCACGGGGTTACGGACCAGAAAAGCACCCCGCTTCTCTTCCTGGGGTGACGGACCAGAAAAGCACCCCGCTTCTCTTCCTGGGGTGACGGACCAGAAAAGCACCCCGCTTCTCTTCCTGGGGTGACGGACCAGAAAAGCACCCCGCTTCTCTTCCTGGGGTGACGGACCAGAAAAGCACCCCGCTTCTCTTCCTGGGGTGACGGACCAGAAAAGCACCCCGCTTCTCTTCCTGGGGTGACGGACCAGAAAAGCACCCCGCTTCTCTTCCTGGGGTGACGGACCAGAAAAGCACCCCGCTTCTCTTCCTGGGGTGACGGACCAGAAAAGCACCCCGCTTCTCTTCCTGGGGTGACGGACCAGAAAAGCACCCCGCTTCTCTTCCTGGGGTGACGGACCAGAAAAGCACCCCGCTTCTCTTCCTGGGGTGACGGACCAGAAAAGCACCCCGCTTCTCTTCCTGGGGTGACGGACCAGAAAAGCACCCTGCTTCTCTTCCTGGCTCTGACCAGCTTGGGAAACGCCATGCAGATCTCTGGCCCTGTCTCTTCAGCGGCTTAGGGAACGAGAGGGCTGAATTACTTCACTTTTATTCAAACTACAATGTGAAATCCTTTTAGAGACTGTAACCAGCTTTCTTCTTTTTCTTTCTTTTCTTTTAATAAATAGGATAGAATTAAAAATTTAAGACATTTTCTGAAACTTTTGTTTCAGGTCTATATTTTATATACTGATTTGTATTATAAATTTCTTAGTGAATGTCACAGTTTGAAAGCCACTGGTGGAATCTTTTAAATTCCTATACAGTAGTTTGAATTCTTATAGATTTGTTTTGCTCTAAAATTATTTCAAGACCAGTAAATCGCAAAGCATGAAATCACAACTTAATATGGAAAGTTTTATCAAAGCTAAATTTATTTGGTGCATACTCTGTACTTGCTCTCAGGTACTTTCACATACCTTTCTCTTTAATATGTAAGAGCAACCGTGTGAGGTATTTCACAGGTTTAAAAAAACAACAACATAACAAAAATCTACTTCCTTGACTCATTCAGGTGAAATGAAGGGTTATAAGCATTTCAAAATAAAAACAAAAACACACAAACAAATCAAACCCAACCAAGTGCATGGTCCACTTCCATTTCCTTTCATGCATCCTCTACACATACCACACGCTTCCGCATTACAGGAGCCAATTCAAATAGGAGGGAACCTTATAGTTTCTGTCTACAGGTGCTTTTTAACCTACCAATTTTCTACTCTAAGCACAAGAAACTTAAAATCTGTCAATATCTGAAATAACTTTTAAGGTGATCTAGCACTTTGAAAATTCTGTTCACATAGAAATACAAACCTAAAAATAGAACTTTTTCAGAGGCAATTTCTCAACAAAAAAAGGCAATGGTAACAGTTCAATTGATGGAAATGATGTAAATAAAATACCTTCAAGAAAAAAAAAAAGTAGATATGTAGCACCATTACCTCAATAAATGAGCAAATTTTAAGATGTGAAAATTACCTAAGAATTACATATATTTTTTCAAATAACCTATTTTCGTACTTAGAAGTTGAAAGTATATATTATATTAAGCTTTCCTTCTAACTAAAAGTTCAACACACTGACATCAAGGTATTTTACAAAATAAAAAGCAATTTTCTAATGAACAGTGACTACTGAATTGTTACAAAGAACAATTAACATTAAGCAATTTTATTCATATGTAAACTTTTCCCAAGAGAAGTATTAATATTGTGTTACAAACAAGACATAATCCGGTCCAGGTGTGAACGTCTCTGGCAGGACACTGGGTCCTCCTCGTGTTCCACTTCTTGGCTGCTTCGTCAGCATCCCTCCGAGTCCTTTTTCTAAACCATGTAGCACAGGGCAGCTCACACAGAACCCAGAGGCAAAGCTGACTCGATTTTTTTAAAGTATGTTCTTACTGAATGCCACCAGCAATATTACCATCAAATTACACTTTGTAATCAAGTACTGTATGACCAATGATATATTTAGTGTGTGTACACACATATATTTCATTGAATAAGCTTAGTATCAGCACACTTAACAGTGTATGATTTATTGTCAATAATTGCTGGCCTCAGATATTTAAAAAAACCACAAATTCTACAGCAGCAACTAACTGTATTTCTCTGAGAGGTCATTTTAAAGCTATCCCAAAACCGAGGAAGAGAATCTAACAAAACACAAATCACATTTACAGCACGAGGCTCCATCTGCGACTGAGTGAGTAATCGGCAAATCAGAGAAAAGCACTGGGCAGGCTTTGAAAACTAAAGCATGTTTCCTGCTAGAGGAACTTCTTCCTTCCTTCCTAAAAATACCACTTAACAACGCTTGAACAAAAGGTTCTGAAATTCCTAGAAAAGCAGCAGACTTCAGTTGTAGTAATTGATGAGGTCAGACTTTACCATGGTAAGCTCAAAATTAATCTGTTGTAGCCAGGAGATACAACGGCTCATTTTTATAGAAGTAAAGTTTATTACATTTGAAACAATACAGCAGAAATCTCAAAAGTTTACTCATTAAATATAATTCAATTCTTACAAATCTGCGTTTGAAAATGCAATTCCTATATACTGCAACCTCAGAAATTGGACTTCAAGTGAAATATGAAGGCAGTAGTTGGGCAAATCACATCAGAGGGCTTTGTCAAATATCTGTACACATCAGTACATACCTCTTCTGTCTGTGATACCACAGGAAAAAGTGGTTCTAAATATATCCAAGGGAATGCAGAAAAATACATTACTATTTGAGGCAGACCATGCTAAAATATAATTTACAATGATTAGTTTGCATTTAAGATGGCTAATAATGCATTTAGTTTGAACCAATGAAATCTAAGGTACGTTAAATTTTGCAGTATTTGCTCAGTCTTTTGTACTAACATTAGTTCATCTGAGAAGATTGGAAAAAGCAAGTGACCTGATCCTTTTCTTCTTATGCTTACAATTTTCTCAGTCATACTAAATGCAAACAGATCGATACAGCATCAAGATTGTTCACATATTAAAATGAAGACTAATGACTTGTGAAGGCAGACTGTGCACCATGTAGTATTTAATAGATAAAACTTGCAATTACCATCAACTCAATTTTTTAAAATAACACTAAGATTTACAAGCAAAATAAACATTTGATTTAAAAATTCTGCTATTCAAGATACTTAGGTATCTTTGAGATTGGTACAGGTTAGGTCTTTTAAAAACCTGAAGACAGTATGGTAAGAGAGAAAAAATCCTCAATGCTTTAAAAAACTCAACTGTTAGAGGAGGCCATACAACTACGACACTGGCATGGAAACAGGTGTTTTTGTCGTAGAACCATTCCTTTTCCCACAGTAGTAGTTCCTCCAAGCCAACCATATAAAGATATAAATCAGTTCACCCATGATTAAAACTGAAGTAATCCTTCAAAAATAAGAGCAATACACCTCACCCAAACAGATCCTTTAAATCATTGCTAGCTGAACTGCTGCTGGTCATAGCAGGTGGGGGCTGCGCAAAGTTCTGTGGGTTAAAGAAAGGGTTCGCCTGCACACCGAAGGCCGTCTGTCCGATCACGTTCGCCTGCGTTCCCACTGCTGCGCTGCCCGTGCCCGGGGACCCCTGAGGCGGCGCAAACTGAGTGAGCCACTGAGTTGGTTTCTGTTGTGATAACTGGTTCATGCTAACTTTGGGTTTCTGAGGACCAAAGAGATTATTAAGAGCAGACATATCTGGAGGTCTTTGCTGAGCCTGCTTTGCACCGGCAGGTGGAACCCCCACAGCACTGAAGCTTGGCAAAGTGGAAGGCGCTCCCATCGTCATCGTCACTCCAGGTGTACTTGGACCACTGAAGTAGTTCTGGTTTGTATTAAGCGGCATGTTGAATCCCGGAGTCTGAAATCCCATGTTAGCATTTAGGCCATTTGTCAAATTTCTCTTTGTATTATCAATTGGTGTAGAAAACATCATGCCAAGGCCCATGGAAGGAACGGAAGTGAAGGTGCTTGAAGCAGAACTTTTAGGGGTGCTAACAGACAGGCTGCTCAGAGATGACATGTTATCCATCAATGTCTCTGTCAAGTCCTTAGTCTGAAAGATATGAGGGAATTACTTCATCTCCAAGAATCCCAAATTACTTCACAATTAGTAAACATTTGATAGATTATAAAGGACGAGTTAAAATTAAGCTCAACAGTCTATACCAACTTGTCAAACCATGGTCCACAGGCCAAATCCAACCTGCCAATACATATTTTTGTATGTTTTTTCACAAATGAACATTTGTAGTCAATTGCTAATAGGGAACACTAATTTTGAACTCAAATGAAATGTTGTCTCTCCCACCTTCCCCCAAATAGAACTGCATTCTTCTCATTAGTAAATCTGTATTACAAAAAAGGATACTTTATTATTTTTATATTCTGAACTTTATCAAAATTTTGTGAAAATTTGTTTTCTTAATTATTATATAAGTAACTAGAGAATATTCTGGATTTTGCTCCTGGCACACAAAAATTTTTCTCAGAATTCTAGTGATTAAGAGACAACAAAAAATAATTTAAAGAAACCTTTCAAGAGAAAGTTATTTCTGAAACCAGTAAGAATGTAAACTCTCCAAGCAGGGACTTTAATCACTGCCACAGTACCAGCACCTACAACGCTGCCTGGATCATAGCAGGAAATAATTACTGGTCAGGGCATATAAAAAGTATTCCTAAATCAAGGTACCAACCCAAGAATAATTGAAGAACCAAATTTGAAAATTATTTTTTGCTCAAAAATACATAAATGCATGAATATTATATTCCTGATCATTTCAAAATGAATAGTGCTGAGACCTAATATTTTTAATAAAACCAAAAAACACCCTCCTGTTCATCTAGCTTCCTCTTTACTGGTAACAAGCACTATCACAAAACATTATACACCAGGCAGGTTATTGAAGAGTTGTTGGAAAATCCTTTATGCTCATACTTCTTAGAAACTGCATATTAAAGTATTCTTTAAAATACATTTTTATACAAACTCCAATAAGCAAATTCCATTCTACACTGCCTTACTCCTTAAGCTTAAAAAAAAAGAAATGAGCTCTGACCTGTTTGACTGGAGCAATAGGTGTGTGCACTTGGGGTTTAAGAGGCTGCTGGCTTTTCAACTTCTGTGCCTGCTCCTGTTCTTTTGCTAACTTTTGTTTTTCTTCAAGTGTAAGTGATGCCTTAAAACAAAACAAAATAAAACAATTAACTGGCAACTTTATATTCCATTTGTAAAACAGAAGATTTCTTTGTTTGTCACGTATGTCTTGGTATGTTCGACAATACCAAATAGTTTGCAAACTGCTCCTGTACTGATGATTGCTACGGGTAAGTTGTATTTCTAATTAACTTTAAACAAACCACAAAAAGATAATTAACTTTAGGTAGAAACTCAAAGAATCTGTGAAAAACTATTTCCAGTATGAAAACAATTATTTGAAAACCATTCATGAGAATCGTATTTTTCCAGACAATGAGACTATGATTAGGTGATTNAACTATTTCCAGTATGAAAACAATTATTTGAAAACCATTCATGAGAATCGTATTTTTCCAGACAATGAGACTATGATTATTTAATTTTACAAAATCGGGAGATTCTTATTCAACTCTAGTCTATCTCACTCCAAAAACATTTTAGGAACTCATCAAAAAGCTAAGGAAGAAGTGAACAGCTTCTTTCCCAATGCCGACATCAAGTCTGACATTTGTCTGTTTCTTTTAACAACCCTGCTAAACATAAGCTCACAGCATGTCTCAGGATTTTGTAAGCCGCGCTGTCCAATAGCTCCATGGCTTCACACACACAAGTACTCTTAGTTGTGAATGAAAAGAAGTAAATTGCCCTCAGCAGAAATTCAAAATTGATGTACCTTTATACTAGATGTTAACCAATATTTACTTGGAAAGTATAATTTTATAGTTTATTATTCAAAATCAGAAGCAGAAAAGAAAGACAGAATTTACCAAGGGGTGTAACTAGCCAAATAACGCAGAAAAGAAAAAGGAGTTCGACAGTCCAGGAATGTTACCCTGTGGGAGGCTATAACAAAGCAACTAAAATGGTAAGCATGTTTATGCTCAGCACGGATCAGCTCATGTTCCACTGATAACTTTCAAATTTCATAAAAATAATTAAAGAATGTTTCTTGTTAAGATGCTAAACAGTTATTTCCCAACAGAAGTCTGTGGTTTATAGGTAGTCCTATAATATATGTGAGTAATAAAAAAAATAGTAGTAAAGAAACTTACTCTTGTCCTGGCTGGTGTGGCTCAGTGGTTAGAGCACTGGCCCTCACACTGAAGGGTCTAGGGTTCGATTCTCAGTCAAGGACACTTACCTGGNCCCACAGTGAAGGGTCGTGGGTTTGATTCCTGATCAAGGGCATGTACCTGGGTTGCAGGTTCAGTCCCCGGCCCTGGTTGGGGTGCCAGCAGGAGGCAACCAATCGATGTGTCTCACATTGATGTTTCTCTTCTATTTCTCTCTCTCTGTCTCTCTCCACCCTTTCCACTCTCTCTCTAAAAATAAATGAAAAAAATGTCCTCGGGTGAGAATTAACAAACAAAAAAAGAAAACTTACTTTTTTATGCTTATTCTTTAACACATCCTCTTTATTTTCTGACTCACCACCAGTCAGAAGGTCTGCTCCAGTGTTGTTAAAAACTTTGTCAATCTGGTGAAATAGAAAAAAGTCAACTGCTTGAATGATGTCAAAAAAATTTGTGATTTTACTTCTTAAAGATCAAACCCCCCCCCCCC